ATGCACAGGGCTGGTTCAGGGAAAGAGGGACAAGGGGCTGGTTCGGTGAAAGAGATGCACAGAACTGGTTTAGGGAAAGAGGGGCACAGGGCTGGTTCAGGGAAAGACAGGAACGGGGCTGGATCAGGGAAAGAAAGGCTCGTGGATGGTTTAGATAAAAGAGAAGCACGGGGCTGGTTCAGGGAAAGAGAGGCATAGAGCTGGTTCAGCGAAAGAGATGCACAGGACTGGTTTAGGGAAAGAAAGGCACAGGGCTGGTTTAGGGAGAGAGAGGTACAAGGATGGTTCATGGAAAGAGGGGCATGGGGATGATTCAGCGAAGGGGGGGCACATAGCTGGTTTAGGGAAAGAGACGCAAAGAGCTGGTTCAGGGAAAGAGAGGCACAGAGCTGGTTCATCGAAAGAGAGGCACGGGGCTGGTTCAGGGAAAGAGATGCACAGGGCTGGTTCAGGGAAAGAAAGGCACAGGGCTGGTTTAGGGAAAGCGTAAGAGAGGCACGGGGCTGGTTCGTTGAAAGAGAGGCACGGGGCTGGTTCGTTGAAAGAGAGGCATAGAGCTGGTTCAGGGAAAGAGAGGCACGGGGCTGGTTCATGGAAAGAGAGGCACAGAGCTGGTTCATGGAAAGAGAGGCACAGAGCTGGTTCAGGGAAACAGAGACACGGGGCTGGTTCAGGGAAAGAGAGGCCAGGGCTGGTTCAGGGAAAGAGAGGCACGGGGCTGGTTCAGGGAAAGAGAGGCACAGGGCTGGTTCATGGAAAGAGAGGCACGGGGCTGGTTCAGGGAAAGAGAGGCACAGGGCTGGTTCAGGGAAACAGAGGCACAGGGCTGGTTCAGGGAAAGAGAGGGACAGGGCTGGTTCAGGGAAAGAGAGGGACAGGGCTGGTTCAGGGAAAGAGTGAGAGAGGCACGGGGCTGGTTCATTGAAAGAGTAAGAGAGGCACGGAGCTGGTTCAGGGAAAGAGTAAGAAAGGCACAGGGCTGGTTCAGGGAAAGAGAGGCACAGAGCTGGTTCATGGAAACAGAGGCACAGAGCTGGCTCAGGGAAAGAGAGGGACAGGGCTGGTTCAGGGAAAGAGTAAGAGAGGGACAGGGCTGGTTCAGGGAAAGAGTAAGAGAGGCACGGAGCTGGTTAGGGAAAGAGAGGCACAGAGCTGGTTCATGGAAAGAGAGGCACGGGGCTGGTTCAGGGAAAGAGAGGCACGGGGCTGGTTCAGGGAAAGAGAGGCACAGAGCTGGTTCATGGAAACAGAGGCACAGAGCTGGTTCAGGGAAAGAGAGGGACAGGGCTGGTTCATGGAAACAGAGACACGGGGTTGGTTCAGGGAAAGAGAGGGACAGGGCTGGTTCAGGGAAAGAGAGGCACAGGGCTGGTTCAGGGAAAGAGAGGCACAGGGCTGGTTCAGGGAAAGAGAGGCACAGGGCTGGTTCAGGGAAAGAGAGGCACAGGGCTGGTTCAGGGAAAGAGAGACACTGGGCTGGTTCAGGGAAAGAGAGGGACAGGGCTGGTTCAGGTAAACAGAGACACGGGGCTGGTTCATGGAAAGAGAGACACGGGGCTGGTTCATGGAAACAGAGACACGGGGCTGGTTCAGGGAAAGAGAGACACGGGGCTGGTTCAGGGAAAGAGAGGCATAGAGCTGGTTCAGGGAAAGAGAGGCACAGGGCTGGTTCAGGGAAACAGAGACACGGGGCTGGTTCATGGAAACAGAGACACGGGGCTGGTTCATGGAAACAGAGACACGGGGCTGGTTCAGGGAAAGAGAGGCACAGGGCTGGTTCAGGGAAAGAGAGGCACAGGGCTGGTTCAGGGAAAGAGAGACACGGGGCTGGTTCAGGGAAAGAGGGGCACAGGGCTGGTTCAGGGAGAGAGGGGCACAGGGCTGGTTCATGGAAAGAGAGGCACAGGGCTGGTTCATGGAAAGAGGGGCACAGGGCTGGTTCAGGGAAAGAGGGGCACAGGGCTGGTTCATGGAAAGAGAGGTACAGGGCTGGTTCATGGAAAGAGAGGCACAGGGCTGGTTTAGGGAAAGAGAGACACAGGGCTGGTTCAGGGAGAGAGGGGCACAGGGCTGGTTCAGGGAAAGAGGGGCACAGGGCTGGTTCAGGGAAAGAGGGGCACAGGGCTGGTTTAGGGAAAGAGGGGCACAGGGCTGGTTCAGGGAAAGAGGGGCACAGAGCTGGTTCAGGGAAAGGGGGGCACATGGCTGGTTTAGGGAAAGAGGGGCACAGGGCTGGTTCAGGGAAAGAGGGGCACAGGGCTGGTTCAGGGAAAGAGGGGCCGGGGCTGGTTTAGGGAAAGAGAGGCACAGGGCTGGTTCAGGGAAAGATATGCACAGGGCTGGTTCAGGGAAAGAGGGACAAGGGGCTGGTTCGGTGAAAGAGATGCACAGAACTGGTTTAGGGAAAGAGGGGCACAGGGCTGGTTCAGGGAAAGACAGGAACGGGGCTGGATCAGGGAAAGAAAGGCTCGTGGATGGTTTAGATAAAAGAGAAGCACGGGGCTGGTTCAGGGAAAGAGAGGCATAGAGCTGGTTCAGCGAAAGAGATGCACAGGACTGGTTTAGGGAAAGAAAGGCACAGGGCTGGTTTAGGGAGAGAGAGGTACAAGGATGGTTCATGGAAAGAGGGGCATGGGGATGATTCAGCGAAGGGGGGGCACATGGCTGGTTTAGGGAAAGAGACGCAAAGAGCTGGTTCAGGGAAAGAGAGGCACAGAGCTGGTTCATCGAAAGAGAGGCACGGGGCTGGTTCAGGGAAAGAGAGGCACGGGGCTGGTTCAGGGAAAGAGAGGCACAGGGCTGGTTCAGGGAAAGAAAGGCACGGGGCTGGTTTAGGGAAAGAGTAAGAGAGGCACGGGGCTGGTTCGTTGAAAGAGAGGCACGGGGCTGGTTCGTTGAAAGAGAGGCACGGGGCTGGTTCGTTGAAAGAGAGGCACGGGGCTGGTTCGTTGAAAGAGAGGCACAGGGCTGGTTCGTTGAAAGAGAGGCACAGAGCTGGTTCAGGGAAAGAGAGGCACAGGGCTGGTTCATGGAAACAGAGGCACAGAGCTGGTTCAGGGAAACAGAGGCACAGGGCTGGTTCATGGAAACAGAGACACGGGGCTGGTTCAGGGAAAGAGAGGCACGGAGCTGGTTCAGGGAAAGAGAGGCACGGGGCTGGTTCAGGGAAAGAGAGGCACAGGGCTGGTTCAGGGAAAGAGAGGGACAGGGCTGGTTCAGGGAAAGAGAGGGACAGGGCTGGTTCAGGGAAAGAGTAAGAGAGGCACGGGGCTGGTTCATTGAAAGAGTAAGAGAGGCACGGAGCTGGTTCAGGGAAAGAGTAAGAAAGGCACAGGGCTGGTTCAGGGAAAGAGAGGAACAGAGCTGGTTCATGGAAACAGAGGCACAGAGCTGGTTCAGGGAAAGAGAGGGACAGGGCTGGTTCAGGGAAAGAGTAAGAGAGGCACGGAGCTGGTTCATGGAAACAGAGACACGGGGCTGGTTCAGGGAAACAGAGACACAGGGCTGGTTCATGGAAACAGAGACACGGGGCTGGTTCATGGAAACAGAGACACGGGGCTGGTTCATGGAAACAGAGACACGGGGCTGGTTCAGGGAAAGAGAGGGACGAGGCTGGTTCAGGGAAAGAGAGGGACAGGGCTGGTTCAGGGAAAGAGGGGCACATGGCTGGTTCAGGGAAAGAGAGGGACAGGGCTGGTTCAGGGAAAGAGAGGCACGGGGCTGGTTCAGGGAAAGAGAGGCACGGGGCTGGTTCAGGGAAAGAGAGACACGGGGCTGGTTCAGGGAAAGAGAGGGACAGGGCTGGTTCAGGGAAAGAGAGACACGGGGCTGGTTCAGGGAAAGAGAGGCACGGGGCTGGTTCAGGGAAAGAGAGACACGGGGCTGGTTCAGGGAAAGAGAGACACGGGGCTGGTTCAGGGAAAGAGAGGCACGGGGCTGGTTCAGGGAAAGAGAGGGACAGGGCTGGTTCAGGGAAAGAGAGGGACAGGGCTGGTTCAGGGAAAGAGAGGGACAGGGCTGGTTCAGGGAAAGAGAGGGACAGGGCTGGTTCATGGAAACAGAGACACGGGGCTGGTTCAGGGAAAGAGAGGGACAGGGCTGGTTCAGGGAAAGAGAGGCACGGGGCTGGTTCAGGGAAACAGAGGCACGGGGCTGGTTCAGGGAAACAGGGGCATAGAGCTGGTTCAGGGAAAGAGAGACACGGGGCTGGTTCAGGGAAAGAGAGGCACATATCTTGAGCTGGTTCAGGGACAGAGAGGCACAGAGCTCGAATTAGATATAGTGATGCAGGTCACAGACGTGTACCACTTTGGTGAAAGAAGACATGCAGAGAGCTAGCATGTCGATACCCAGTCTTTCTACGGAACCTGTAGTGTGTATCTTGCCAAGACATGTAGAAAGCAGATAAAACTAATTGTTAACAGCTTTTGGTTAGCCTACCATGCAGAGTAACGTTTGACATATACCACCTAATGTCTTCAAATATAAAATGTCACACAATTATTGTGTTACATCCTTTATTAATGACACCTAGTTGAAATCACAATGCTATGCAATATTTACATACATCAAAGATCTACAACATATATTCATAATTTCATACGTTCAAAAATAATAGAAGATAATGTATAGTGTAACTCGTTCAAGTAACTATTCGCGAAAGTGTTCAGTAATCGAAACACGCAAAGTAATCAAATTAATTTATTCTTTAACTAAATTTTAGATTACGTTTCATAATCATTATATTTATGATTATGACGGTGATATTCATCTCTGTTGCGCAGTAGGACATTATAGATAATTTGTTACATGTAACATTATTCCGACGGCAAGTTCATAAAGTGACATGTTGGCCAACCACGCAAAACAAGTAAATGTAAACACAACATCAGTAGCCAGTCAGGCGTGACATCAGCAACAGAAAGGTCGCGATGACCACAAAATGCCAAGGTTCTGCTGGGATATCCACCAGCCTCGTTTTCATTTCGCCGTGACGTCACACTTCGTCTTTGTCGGGAGAAATTCCCCACATATCGAGAGATTCCCCAGCCTGAAATGTTGTATATTTCACGAAATCCTTGTGTTAAGGACATGATGTGGTAACGTACGACATTTTGACATTATTACCATGGTAACTACCTGACAGACAAGCTCGGCCAAGGCGGATTTAGCCCTGAGCTGAGTGGAAAATCTCGGGGATGCCACGTAGAAAATCAACAACTCTGGCCACCTCACCTCTCAAACGTAAGTAGGCCTAATGTTTTATGATAATTTTTGAAACCGAGCTTGGCAAATGATGTTGCTGTCATGCATGTGTCTATATATCCTTGCTTTTGAAATACATGTTGTCTGATATTACACACGAGGGGTGGGAGGGTTATCATTTTCACCTCGTTTTGGGGAAACACCTCCAATATTCGACAGGGGTTACCCTTATTAGTTATGCATTCGCCCGCAACATCCGTTGGCTAATTCAGTAAATTGACTTTACTAACAACTTTGAATCTCAACGTGTGTGTAATTTTCGTATCTGTTTGAATGTAAACATGTGTTCATTGTCAACAAGCTTTAACTTATAACACATATTCAGCGAAAACATTGCTGTTGCGAGGTGGTAATGGCGTACGAGATGGACGAGTCTACATAGCAACATCGAGGGTGGGCGGGTTTCATGTGGCTCGTGGATCTATAAATAGCCGAGACAAGCATTCCTGCACAGGTTGTCGTGGGGTGTTCCGGAGAGGCCTCAGCACGAAAACAACATATTTATAGACTTGTGAACAGTTCGTAATGGGTTTTGCGTTTCGTAAAAGCAGCTTATTGTAAGAGGGTGATATCAAACCTGAAAATAAATCATCAAAAATGTGAAAAATAATCCTGACTTAACGTTAATTAGCAGTTTCCATTAAAACAGAAAGCCTAATCCGATCCTTTGGAAACCAGAAATGAGAGAATGAATTACCTAATGCAAACAATACGATGAGAAAGTTTTTTTGTATGTTTTAACTTACTTGAAAAATTATTAATACTAAGTCATGAAAAGCGACATAAAACCCTCTGCACACGCTTTGGGACAAGCAGGTATGAATATAATAATTTGTATGAATACAATTTTAAGAGTCACTGAGCAGTGTCATATTAACCCTTGACTCGTAACAACGAAACTAGAAATATTTTATGGTGGTTTGACGGGTACCCAAGACCCTTGTGTGCTTTCGAACTAATGCATTAGGACTTTCTTACCTTATAACTGACTAAATGTTTGCTATTAAATGATGTCATAATGCATGATCATGATTGTTAGAGAAAAAAAATGTAATGTATTTGTTGTATGACCTTTTCAAGGCCTATTCGAACTTAAAGCCGAGTCTACTTTGGGACTGTGGTCGAACATGATGCCATTTGAAGCCTGCGGGAGCATTCTTTGTTATTCCGCAACGTCTGTCAGATAGCATATTGTCTTGTACGAGTACACCAAATACCCCAACAGCCTTATCCCATGCATAATGAGAAGGTGCAGCTGCCCAATGATTGAAGCGTTCTCTCGTCACGCCGCGGCCGGGGTTCGTTTCCTGGATACAAGGTGTAAATCCCATTTCTGGTGTGCCTGACCCGTAGAATAGGTCTTCAGCAACCCATGCTTGCCGTGAAAGGCGACTATGCTTGTCTTGAGAGGTGACTAACGGGATCGGGTGGTCAGGCTCGATGACTTGGTTGATGCAGGTCATCGAGCCCAATTCCGTGGATCGATGCTCATGATATCAATCAGTGGATTTTCTGGTCGAGACTCAATTATTTACAGACCGCCGTCCTATAGCTGGAATATTGCTGAGTGCGGCGTAAAACAACCAACCAACCAACCAATCTGGTGTGCCTTCCCTGATATTGCTAGAAACAGCACAAACCCTTTCGCAAGCACTCGTTGTTAATCACATTCTCTGCATGCTGCTGATTCATAATACTGTAACAAGAACACCATGGGACTAGTTATATTGAATTAGGTGACCTAGCTGGCTAATGGGAAAGATTAAATGTCCTATTTCATTGTCTTTACTTAAAGCTTAATATGAATTTTGGCGATAATTTGCCAGGAATGTGTGAAGAGTTTGTGTTTCTGAAGTTTAGAACTGATGTTCATGGTTTTCATGCTAATATATTGTAATAGCCCGAATATAGTTACATTGGTCATGAAGGCCTTTAGATTGACTGCGAGTATTTTATGGTTTGCACTATATTGAACGAGGAATGTGAGAACTGTGCCATCCTACATGCCTTACATGCTAAAGTGTTCGCTCGTCGCGACGAAAGGTAGGATTCGATCGATACTCCATATGGGTAAATTGTGGGAAGCCCATTTCTGGTATCTCTGTGATGTTGATAGAATATTGCTGAAACGGCGTAAAACTATACTCAATCTTTCATTGTGAAAGTTGCTTTCTTATTAATAGTGACGTGCAGGTTATTATACGAGCATGTGTGTCACACTGATTCTGCGAAACGAGCGTCAGAATTCTTGTATTTCTCAAGCGAGAGCGATGGTAATGCATGATTTCTTACACGGGTTTCGTTAGAACAGTATGCGAGTGTTGTGTTTTCTTTTCAGCCTATTATTCCCTAAACCCTTTGAGCTCCCATTTAGAAAAAATGTGCTGCTCACGATCACTGTCTTAAAATAACACATTTATCGAATAACGTTAATCTTCAGCCATGACGGCGTTTTCAGTGTGTCGTCATTCCGACCTTACGCCACAATAAGATTCGAATGACGTCAACAATAACGATTTTATGAACTCAATTTACATTTAACCATATGGTTATTACGGTAAATAGTATTACGTTAGAAAACAATTTGACATGGGTCAATAAAAATATATATTTGTATGTGTTCAGCTACGAATTCCTGTGATTAGAGTAGAAGCAAAAGAACAAAGCATTTCAGATCTGACATAAATAATTCTCTGTTTCCATGGTAATCGTAGGGCAGAATAGATCTCCACTACCATCCTCGTGTCGGGAAAGTCGCCTAATAGGGATCGGTGGTTACAATGACAGCTGATTCTATAACATGAAGATCCGGGTCAGTACGAGGCGACTAACGGGATCGGGTGGTCAGGTTGCTGGCTTGGTTGATGCATGTCATCGTTTCCCAGTTGCGTGGATTGATGCTCATGGTGTCAATCACTGGATTGTCTGGTCCAGACTCGATCATTTACAGACCGCCGTCATATAGCTGGAATATTGCACTTTTTTTTGTCAACAACAAACTAATGAACCAGCTATATGAGTCGCGGACGATCGTGGTGCAGACAGTCACACGTTTGTCTGACCCTGACACAGTTTTATACAGACTTGATACAATATTAATTAGCACGAATAGAAGATCCTACGTCATCAAGTCATATACAGTTACAGTGAATGAAAATCTTGACGTCAATGGAAGCAATTTGTGCTGGCGTTATTTGGAGCGATATTCTTCAGCTTGAAAACATCAGTTGCTATACATGTAGATCTTTTTTGGTTTGTTTGTTGTTTAACGCTATTCTCAGCAATATTCCAGCTATATATGACGGCGGTCTGTAATTAACCGAGTCTGGACCAGACAATCAAGTGATTGACACCATGAGCATCGATTTACTTAATTGGGATACAATGACATGCAGTAACCAAGTCAGCGAGCCTGACCACCCCGTCCCGTTAGTCGCCTCTTGGGGTGGTCGGGTAGCCTAGTGGTTAAAGCGTTCGCTCGTCACGCCGAAGACCCGGGTTCGATTTCCGACATTGGTTCAATGTGTTAAGTCAATTTCTGGTGTCCCCAGCCGTGATATTGCCGGAATATTGCTAAAAGCGGCGTAAAACCATACTCACTCACATGTCACCTCTTACGACAAGCATGGGTTGCTGAAGACCAATTCTATCCTGGGTGTTCACGGGTAACATGATGATCTGTGTGGATTTGCAGAGGGACATTCGATATATTCTGTTGACTTTGCTACTATTCCTGTCATTGATAAATAGATAGTAGCCTAATCGTTTAACATACTTAAATTGTGTTGGGATGAGGGCAGCCCATTCCAAATAAACTGTCTAAGGCTCGTTTTGGTGTCACGGGTAGCTGTTGGCAATGAATTGTAGACATTCATTCCGAAGCAGAAATGAAAAAGATCCCACGTACATAATAATGTGTTGATGAAAATCTTGATTAAGTTATTCTAACGAAATAAAATCTGTGGACTATAGACGCAAAATATTATTTCCAGCTGTTTGCGGATACGGTAACAACTACATGTTTTTAGCGTTTTTAAATGTGTATTCTTCGCAAATGAAACGCTTCTTATAATAGAATTTGTATGTACATCAATATGATAATTAATAACATGATTACATTTTACTGACTGTCTTGCACGAAGCCAGTATAGCGATTCACGATTGCGAAATAGTTTGCAACAACACTTGTACCCCCTGCATTAGAAATGAACTGGTCCGGCAAACTCCCACCTGGCAAGGACCCAAGTCTTCTAGTAGATTACCGTGACCTAAATTTGCGGGATTTCGATCGATTCCGCAGTAGAAAACGAGTTCTGATGAATTTGCACAAACGTTACTGTTCTCAAAACACATATTTGATTAGACCATTGCAAAATTACGCTGAATCGATGCCAATTTATTGCCAAATTTCATGAATCATAAAAACTGGCGAGTTGTTATTCATGATGTTTTCGCGGCGATCACGGGGACTGCCGGTTAAGAGGTCTGAAAGGACACAGGTAAAGGTGCCGTTATATTAGCAATGAATAATTTAAAATATTTACCTACTAAATTACCAGATGTCACCTTGTTTAATATGGGAATTGTTAATTACCACACTCGGGGGCCCACTCAATGATTATACTGAATCGTTCAGTCGCAACTGAGTGCAATGTCTGTTGTAAATGAGACCTGACTCCATTCGAGCGCTGGGAAACTCAAGTTGTGACGTCATTGTTGCCTTGGTAGCGGTGTCACATGGGTGTTTCCCCATGAAATGATTTGCACGAGGAAGATGTTTCAAATCAATGTGTTTCAGTGTTATTTGACAAATATGAAAACAGTTGCAGGCTGTGAACAGCGGGAATGTCACAGACATCATTTCTAACAGAACTTATAGAACAACGTTTGGAAGAGAAATTGATAGCGTCATGAAATAATTTCTGTTGACTGTCAAAATATAGATCTAAAGGCAAGATAGAGATCTAGCTAAGGTATAT